CAGCCCGAGCAGAAGAACAGAGACTTTCTCCTGTTTCATAAACAGGAAAGTCAAACCTCTGGTAAAGAACCAGCACAGAGTCTGGAATAAAGACACTCCCTGTACTGGGATTAGTCCATTGTCTTTACAGCAGATTATGTTCTTGTCACTAAAGTCCACTACCTGGACGGACTTAATGTCCCATAACACAACACCCACTGAAGGGCCATGTTCAAGTCCACATGGCTGCCGGTGCTCACCCCGCACCAAATCAAAGTGAAGTCTCAGTGAAGGCGCCGTGTTTAACTCACGAGGTCGTTTTTCTGTTCGTTTATTCAAGGAAGGCAGAAATAATGTTCGCAGGGAACAACAAGTGGCCTGTTGTTCTCTGCTGGCTGTTTAGATCGGACCGCACATCCACCGTGCGGCCTCATGAGAACTGAGGCAGCTTTGTGTCTTTGAGCGGATCGACTACACGATCACCGCCGTGCCGAGCCCTTTGGACTCCTGAGAGCCTCGTGTCTGCAAAGTGTTGTGAGCTTTTAAAGAAAAGCTTTTCAGAAACAGGTCGACGCATGTGAGGGCGGACATTACCCCACGGCTCCTCACTTCCTATTTTATTACATTAAAAAGTTATTTACAACTAGGCCTGTCACGATATCAAATTTTGCTGGGCGATTAATTGTCTCAGAAATTATTGCGATAAACGATAATATCGTTTGAGATTTAACAATAATTAGTAAATATTGTCAAATTTAAGATGAAATGTTGGTTAATTTGTTTTGAGTGCAGTACCTTTTATTGACCACTGGATGGCAGTATAAGACTGTTTGAACCAAAGGATGGATAGTGAGGGAGCGAGCAGCGTGTCTCTAAGAAAAATGGGAGGGAGGCCCCTTGACGTGACATGGGCTGCCTCTGTTCAGTTCTTAAAATGGCTGACGCTCGGTGTGGTCTGAGCTCTTTAGCATTTTTCAAATAAAGATTTTAAAAATAAGATCGGTAAACAAGTTCTCAGCTTCTTTTTACAGAGAAAAACAACTTTTTAGACGAAGGCACGAGTTTCAACCGTGAATTTTGGAGCTTCAACAAAAAACAGTTTTTTCCCCGAGGTCGGCCTGTTAGCTTAGCTCGTAGCTTAGAAGTAGAAAGGGAGACACGATGAAACGATAAAGCTGATGAATGAAAATAAGGTCGATATTTTTAATTTATCATGCAATTAATTGATTAATTGATTTATCGCGACAGATCTATTTTCAAGTTCTTCATTAAAAATGTTTCCAAATCATTAACTGCACCTTCAAAGTCACACGTGTGTGCCACCTTAGCTGCGGTTCCATTATTAGTGGAATCTTAGCTGCAAATAGATACACAAAAATATGCAGATTTATACATGTATATAAGAAGTGGTGCTCTCTATGTAGCCATACGGTATTTAGCTGCTTGAAGCTAAAGCAACAAGGAAGAAATAAATAAGTCTTTACCTGAAAATAAATTTAGCTTCAACAATGTAAAAATCTTTATTATGAATACAGCAAATGTAACTACACGCTGAAGAAAAATGTATTTACTGTGTGAAAAGGAACGTTTGGTTTCATTTGGTCAATTGTTTAACATTATTAGATTAAAGCAGTCATGTTTAAAATAAAAACAACTTTCTGGAGAGCTGGTAAGTTTACTTTCTTTTACACAGTGTGATCATCCGACTGAAGCTTTGCTTAAAGGTCAAAGACTAAACCCTAAGGGTCAAAAGATTATTAACAACGCAGGAGAGAACTTGTGAGGAATGAATTTCTTATCAGTTTCCGTGTGATCGTTTTTATTCTTGCAAAGGATTAACAGGGAAATGGAACAGTTTCCTGCTAAAGCCAAAAATCATAGAACTGGAATGATTTAATCGTTATTAATATTAAAAAGGTGCTCGTTTATGGACAATCTTCATTTGAAATGTAGCTCAGTTTTTAGTGTAAGAAAAATGTAAAGTGAGAGGGTCGTTTGATTAAAAGCATAAAGAATTATAAAAAGTTCAGATACGAGCTTCTTAGTCAACTTAAGCAAAAGTCTCCAAATTACCGGTGATAAAACCGTTACTAGAACCTCCTTCTTCCACCTGCGTAATATCACTAACATTAGAAACATCTGATCTAAAGATGATGCAGAAAAACTGGTCCATGCATTTGTCACGTCTAGACTGGACTATTGCAATGGTTTATTATCTGGGTGTCCAAATCCTTCTTTAAAACGTCTTCAGTTGATCCAAAATGCTGCTGCCAGAGTCTTAACT